TTATTATTATTAAAAAAAAGAGGCAAATATGAGATTTAGGTGCAGAGGGTGATGAGGAGTCCTGCTTTAGGAATTGATTCTGGTAAGGGCCATATGTCAGCGAGGTGCAGTGCAGGTTATTTGAATGTGATGTTGCTGTTATTTAGTTATTTCAATCCTTTTTAAATTCAGTGACTTGCAGACGATTGCTTAGCATAGCTGTGTCAACAATGCGCACATTTCAAATTCCGTTTTGTTTTTTTTCTCTTGTAGTTCCACAACAATTGTGTGAAGTAAATGATGCACAAGCAATACCTCTAATGAAATGTATAATGTAGCTTTTTTCTTGTCTTGTTGCAAGGTTTAATCCATGTTAATGTATTTAGAACGGCAATAATTCGTAGCTTGTAGAGCAACAGATCTTTCTGCCAGGAACCCATTCCAGCCATATGATGTCTGCAAATAGTAAAGGTGGCTTCATAATATACAAGTCCAACAGTTATGTTCTCTCGAATGCATATTAGCGTGACAGAGAATGTTCCAAATCTGTTTAAATGCCTTTATTTTAGAAATCTAGGATCTAACTGTATTTAGTGAAGGCAGGCATTCTTCTTACATTTACTAAGGTGTACGGCTAGCAATGCCGCATTGATCTTTACAAATACCTATTAGCATGTTGTTAGATTTATCTTTGTGGTTGAGAAAGTGCATTTTTTGCTTTTATACTAACATTTCACACCCTGAATGATTTCATTTACCTGTTATTTCTATAAAGGACAAACAAATAAATGAAAAATAAACCATTGCTACATTTACATAACTTTCATTTTTCTGTTTGTCTGAACAGCGATCTATGCCTCCAGTTGCCGTTTTATTTATATGGTTATGTGCTAGCTATAGCTGACGTTCAGAAATGGGATCAGACATTGTTTATTCCATCAGAGCACAGAAAGTCATGTAATTCAGAGTTCAGTGGCTGTATAGACCATTTAACTTAAGGCGACTTTGTTCCTTTTTAAAAACTAAAGGAAACATAGTAACATGTAGTTTTAAAGAGATTCATTTAAAATAAAACACAAGCAACGGACGTGTATTGTAGTCAGTCAGTGCTGTGAGTGTAACAATATTTATTATTGTATATTGCAAACTAGAGGACTCGATATTTCATACTCACTCTGTCCTTCTGGGCAACTGTGTCTAATTCAACCATCCAGTAAGACAAGAAAAAAGCTACATTTCCACATTTCCTGGAGGCATCATTATAAGTCGTCGGACTTGTCTAATTGTACGATGGGTTTCTGCTATTTTACCTTTTTTATTGTATGATTGGGTCATATTATCTCAGGATAATATTACATGGCACCAGAAGTTATACAAGTGTAGGAGCCATTCATTCAGGGACCTCATTTTTATATTATTTTTTTTAAAGTTTCATTTTTTTCTGAAAAAACTCTCATAAATTAGAGTTCCTCCTACTTGAACCCAGTGCCACAAAATTCTGTTTGGCACCATGCCAGCAGAGTAATAATCTGTCCATTGTCACAAAAGCTAAAACACAGCACAGAAACACCAGGTTAATAAAAACTGTCTTTACCGCCTAGGTGCCGTCATTTTTCCCTCTTTAAATGTTTTCATTTTTATTGATACTATCAATATAAAATCTTTGTTGCTCTTCCTCGTGACCTTTTAACAGCTAAAGGGACAATCAATAAATCTGTCAGGCTGCCAAATCCTTTGCTCTTAATCAGGGCTCGTCCCACCAAGCTCAGATGGAGCCGTTACTCATGCTGCGGACAAGCGCAAGCAGCTATTCCCAACTACTTTATCTTCCTAGTGTCACTCCGATGAGACGTTAATCTACACCAAACTGTGATTTTATTATTATTTCATACTGTGTGCTGCGGTCACATCCTAGACTCACCAGTTTACAGAACACAAATTATTATTCTGTTAGAACTTTACCAGCCTCACTGTACAGACATTGCAGAGTCTGCTCTCTGTATTATAATCATTAACTCATATGTTGCATGTAGACCGGGTTGGTACAGAAATTCAAAGCTTTGAGGCAAAAGTCACTCAGCTTAAAACGTTCAATTCACTTCCCTTCGTTTCTGTCAAGCGACTGTTAGGACACTGTTTTGGATGAGGCGTTACAGCAGATACATTAGATTTGAAATGTTGATATTCAGCAAAATGCTTCTTTAAAAAGTTTGAAAGCAGCCTCGGTATATTCAATCAGAAGAGGAAAAATTAGGATTTTGCAGAAATTGCCCAATTTGTTGTGCTGGCATTGTTTGGTTAATTAAACTAAAATAAATGCCGTAAATAAGACTGTTTACAAACAGAACCAAGTTTAATTATGATTAAAGGTCATTTGGGGAAAGTGTGACTGCTTATCCTTACTTATAATGCTTCAATGCCATTCTTTTATTGCCGAAGGGCCCTGTCTTTTCATCAAGCATCCAACTGTACCTTGCATATATACTTATTTGTATCTTTGTTAAATTTCCACTTTATAACAGAAATATATAAACAGGTCACTGGATTTCTTTCGTTTTTGTATAACGCCAAAGAAGGGAATACTCTAGATTATGTCTACCTCATTATTATATATTTATAATTAAATATATCAAATCTGTTAGGGGCACAGTGTGACATCGTTTCACTGGGAGATATGGGTTGTCCCTCACCTCTAGAAGACACCGTCATGTTCTGTATGGTAAATTGTCAGACATATTGCTTTTCCTCATTACAATTATACCTGAAACCATTGCTGTAGCAGGATGCTATAGGTGGCTATGTGGCGTTCAGTTTGCTTTTTACCTTCCCTTGTGATTCAATGTACTCAATCAGAGCAGACATAAAGCTTTAATCAGTTTTTTGGAAATGCAGCCATTATACCTCAATCTCCCTGTCACTGGACTTGTAGGTTCTAAAAACATTAAAGACTAACGGGAATGCAGCAAACCAATCACAGCCCTGAAGCCTTGTGTGATATAACCGGCAAGTAAATATACAAAATGGCCTCTCACCGGACCACGCTGGTTGGTTAATTCTTTATTTTTGAGCTATTGCACCAAAGATCAGCACTGCACACATTTCACGTGAACTTGGAATCTCGTTGTTCCAAGTCAAGTAATGGGAAAAAAGACTTCTGAATGATGTAATTATTATTTGTATGTTTTTTACTACGCTTTAGACTGTTTTCACTTGGCTTTGCTTGTAGAATGTAGTCCCATTTGTTTGCTTTGCAACCTGTCTGTGAATCTGTTTTAGTTGACTAGAGCCGCGATGCAGGTTGTATTTTCATGCAGTGTTTCAATCTTTTCACCACTCAGTTATCTCCAGCAAATCTTAAATATTGTATTGAATTTTACATTACTGAAAGATGTTATTCTTTGGAGCAATGGTGCTTCCGACTAACCAGAACAGATCAAGATTTGATGCATATCCCAAAGCGAACAGAAAGGAATAGTCCTCAAATCTCTTACCATTCTTAAACAGCTCTGTCACTTTTGTTGAGGTGACAGAGAAGGGAACACAAAGGAGGTATACCCACCGTAATGTGTCCCTCTTATGTGCCACCATCTGTCTTCAGCTCCTGGTGACTTCATCTGACGTAACCAACAGCTGATTGCAAATGGTGGCAGAAACCCCAAAGATCACCAATCACATAAGATGAAGTTTTACCTACAGTCATCAGAAATCAGAGATTCTAATAAAGTTTCTATCTTTATGTAAAGGTCATAAGTGACAGAGCTACTTTACAAACTAGCTTCAAGGGAAGAGATGCATACGCTATTAAAATACAGGGAGTGCAGAATTATTAGGCAAGTTGTATTTTTGAGGATTAATTTTATTATTGAACAACAACCATGTTCTCAATGAACCCAAAAAACTCATTAATATCAAAGCTGAATATTTTTGGAAGTAGTTTTTAGTTTTAGCTATGTTAGGGGGATATCTGTGTGTGCAGGTGACTATTACTGTGCATAATTATTAGGCAACTTAACAAAAAACTAATATATACCCATTTCAATTATTTATTATTACCAGTGAAACCAATATAACATCTCAACATTCACAAATATACATTTCTGACATTCAAAAACAAAACAAAAACAAATCAGTGACCAATATAGCCACCTTTCTTTGCAAGGACACTCAAAAGCCTGCCATCCATGGATTCTGTCAGTGTTTTGATCTGTTCACCATCAACATTGCGTGCAGCAGCAACCACAGCCTCCCAGACACTGTTCAGAGAGGTGTACTGTTTTCCCTCCTTGTAAATCTCACATTTGATGATGGACCACAGGTTCTCAATGGGGTTCAGATCAGGTGAACAAGGAGGCCATGTCATTAGATTTTCTTCTTTTATACCCTTTCTTGCCAGCCACGCTGTGGAGTACTTGGACGCGTGTGATGGAGCATTGTCCTGCATGAAAATCATGTTTTTCTGAAGGATGCAGACTTCTTCCTGTACCACTGCTTGAAGAAGGTGTCTTCCAGGAACTGGCAGTAGGACTGGGAGTTGAGCTTGACTCCATCCTCAACCCGAAAAGGCCCCACAAGCTCATCTTTGATGATACCAGCCCAAACCAGTACTCCACCTCCACCTTGCTGGCGTCTGAGTCGGACTGGAGCTCTCTGCCCTTTACCAATCCAGCCACGGGCCCATCCATCTGGCCCATCAAGACTCACTCTCATTTCATCAGTCCATAAAACCTTAGAAAAATCAGTCTTGAGATATCTTTTGGCCCAGTCTTGACGTTTTAGCTTGTGTGTCTTGTTCAGTGGTGGTCGTCTTTCAGCCTTTCTTACCTTGGCCATGTCTCTGAGTATTGCACACCTTGTGCTTTTGGGCACTCCAGTGATGTTGCAGCTCTGAAATATGGCCAAACTGGTGGCAAGTGGCATCGGCAGCTGCACGCTTGACTTTTCTCAGTTCATGGGCAGTTATTTTGCGCCTTGGTTTTTCCACACGCTTCTTGCGACCCTGTTGACTATTTTGAATGAAACGCTGATTGTTCGATGATCACGCTTCAGAAGCTTTGCAATTTTAAGAGTGCTGCATCCCTCTGCAAGATATCTCACTATTTTTGACTTTTCTGAGCCTGTCAAGTCCTTCTTTTGACCCATTTTGCCAAAGGAAAGGAAGTTGCCTAATAATTATGCACACCTGATATAGGGTGTTGATGTCATTAGACCACACCCCTTCTCATTACAGAGATGCACATCACCTAATATGCTTAATTGGTAGTAGGCTTTCGAGCCTATACAGCTTGGAGTAAGACAACATGCATAAAGAGGATGATGTGGTCAAAATACTAATTTGCCTAATAATTCTGCACTCCCTGTATATCCCCAGCTGGCCAATTTAGAGACTTTTCATCTGCATTTAGTAAGTGATGCCATTCTCATAGCTGGAAGTATTTAAATTAATTCCTATCCAATGATTTTTGTCTTTGTTTTTTTCATTGCTTTTACTGCTTTTGCAAAAGTAATAATTCCTTTTAAGACACTCCCCAAATTGTAGGAAAATAATGTTCACTTTTTACATGTTAAGCTGCTTCCTCTCCATCTCAACCACATCTTCTTGAGATTGAAAGCAAACAGGGAGTTTGTCTGACACAGTCTCCCCTAGAAACAAACCATGCAGATGACACAAGAGAAGCCAATGCATCAGTCATAACTGGTACGGCGGCAAAAAAGCACTGCGTAACTTGAGAAATGTTCTCAAAATCCCAAAGGCTACATTACTAAGCTTTAAGATTTTTTTTAAAAATGTAAAATCATTTTACAGATTATTGGCTCTTTAATTAATGTGTTAACTTTCCCAAAAAGTAACTAATGATAGTTTGCAATCCTATAATTGAACATATGTGCCTATTTCAGAATGCTCTTTAAGAAAACAAACCATGTAGATGGTCTGGGGCCTGGTGTAGCATAACTCTCATTCTGATTAGTAGAGCTGCGTCACCTGCTGACCATTCCAGGTACTCTTTTTCAAATAAATATTAGATATGGTCCAAAGACCAGAGACAGTGGCAGAGTTATTCTCTGTGCTATGCTATATTTTATCTTAACAGTTTCCCTCATGCTGTGTGGTACCTGCATCGCGACTCTACAGCCTTTAAGGGATTTCCTTTATTGGCCCAAACGTTTTGATTAATCCAGCGCATTAGGTAAAAGCTGGATTGTGGTGCTCAGGGGTATAAACACAAAAAATGATATGATAATAAACTGTTTAATTCATGTTTGGTTTTCATTGTGTTGATTTTGTGTGTTGTGTTTTTTTTTGTTTGTTTTTTAAAGATCCTTGTATACTTTGACAGTGGGATTTCCTCCATTAAAAAAAAAAAACCATCAAGTACACAAAGCATATTCATTCAATAAGATTAAGCGATTTAACTCAAAATTTTCATCCAGCAATATTAGACAGTACATGACTAAGCATAAGGTGCAGTTTGGCGGTCTCGTAGGTTCCAGGAGTTAGACAGGGGTCCAGAAATTTGAATTTACTTGTCCCCATTCACCAAGAATGAATGGGGGCTAGTATACTGCCTAAGACGCTATGGGATCCTTATCTGATTCAGGGTGCACTGCCATGATGGCTAACTGAAAGAAATGTACTCAGTAATATTCAGGAATTGCGGCCATGATGGTTTAACTGAAAGACATTCACTCATTAATATTTAGGAAGTGCCACCATGATGGTTTAACTGAATGAAATTCTCTCAGTGATATTAAGGAAGTGCTGCCATGATGGTTTAACTGAAAGACATTCACTGAGTAATATTCAGGAAGTGCCACCATGATGGTATAACTGAAAGACATTCACTCAGTAATATTCAGGAAGTGCCGCCATGATAGTTTAACTGAAAGACATTCTCTCAGTAATATTCAGGAAGTGCCGCCATGATGGTTTAACTGGAAGACATTCTCTCAGTTATATTCAGGAAGTGCCGCCATGATGGTATAACTATATTACATTCTCTCAGTAATATTCAGGAAGGGCCGCCATGATAGTTTAACTGAAGAACATTTACTCAGTAATATTCCAAAAGTGCCGCCATGATGGTTTAACTGAAAGACATTTACTCGGTAATCTTCAAAAAGTGCCGCCGTGATGGTTTAACTGAAAGACATTCGCTGAGTAATATTCAGGAAGTGCTGCCATGATAGTTTAACTGAAATAAATTCACTGAGTAATATTCAGGAAGTGCCGCCATGATGGTTTAACTGAAAGACATTTACTCAATAATATTCAGGAAGTGCCGCCATGATGGTTTAACTGAAAGACATTTACTCGGTAATCTTCAAAAAGTACCGCCATGATGGTTTAACTGAAAGACATTCACTGAGTAATATTCAGGAAGTGCCGCCATGATGGTTTAACTGAAAGACATTCACTGAGTAATATTCAGGAAGTGACGCCATGATGGTATAACTGAAAGATATTCTCTCAGTAATATTCAGGAAGTGCCGCCATGATGGTTTAACAGAAAGACATTCTCTCAGTAATATTCAGGAAGTGCCGCCATGATAGTTTAACTGAAAGACATTCACTCATTAATATTCAGGAAGTGCCGCCATGATGGTTTAACTGAAAGACATTTACTCAGTAATCTTCAAAAAGTACCGCCATGATGGTTTAACTAAAAGACATTCACTCAGTAATATTCAGAAAGTGCTGCCATGATAGTTTAACTGAAAGACATTCTCTCAGTAATATTCAGGAAGTGACGCCATGATGGTTTAACTGAAAGACTTTCTCTCAGTAATATTCTGGAAGTGCCGCCATGATGGTATAACTGAAAGACATTCACTCAGTAATATTCAGGAAGTGCCGCCATGATGGTTTAACAGAAAGACATTCTCTCAGTAATATTCAGGAAGTGCCACCATGATAGTTTAACTGAAAGACATTCACTCATTAATATTCAGTAAGTGCCGCCATGATGGTTTAACTAAATTACATTCTCTCACTTATATTCAAGAAGTGCCGCCATGATAGTTTAACTGAAAGAAATTCACTGAGTAATATTCAAGAAGTGCCGCCATGATGGTATAACTATATTACATTCTCTCAGTAATATTCAGGAAGTGCCGCCATGATAGTTTAACTGAAAGACATTCACTCATTAATATTCAGGAAGTGCCACCATGATAGTTTCACTGAAAGACATTCTCTCAGTAATATTCAGGAAGTGACGCCGTGATGGTTTCACTGAAAGACATTCTCTCAGTAATATTCAGGAAGTGACGCCGTGATGGTTTAACTGAAAGACATTCTCTCAGTAATATTCAGGAAGTGCCGCCATGATAGTTTAACTGAAAGACATTCACTCAGTAATATTCAGGAAGTCCCGCCATGATGGTTTAACTATATTACATTCTCTCAGTTATATTCAAGAAGTGCCGCCATGATAGTTTAACTGAAAGACATTCTCTCAGTAATATTCAGGAAGTGCCACCATGATAGTTTAACTGAAAGAAATTCACTGAGTAATATTCAGGAAGTGCCGCCATGATGGTTTAACTGAAAGACATTCACTCAGTAATATTCAGGAAGTGCCGCCATGATGGTTTAACTGAAAGACATTCTCTCAGTAATATTCAGGAAGTGCCGCCATGATGGTATAACTATATTACATTCTCTCAGTTATATTCAGGAAGTGCCGCCATGATGGTATAACTGAAAGACATTCACTCAGTAATATACAGGAAGTGCAGCCATGATGGTTTAACTGAAAGACATTCTCTCAGTAATATTCAGGAAGTGCCGCCATGATGGTTTAACTGAAAGACATTCTCTCAGTAATATTCAGAAAGTGCCGCCATGATGGTTTAACTGAAAGACATTCACTCAGTAATATTCAGGAAGTGCCGCCATGATGGTTTAACTGAAAGACATTCTCTCAGTAATATTCAGGAAGTGCCGCCATGATGGTATAACTGAAAGACATTCACTCAGTAATATTCAGGAAGTGCCGCCATGATGGTATAACTGAAAGACATTCACTCAGTAATATTCAGGAAGTGCCGCCATGATAGTTTAACTGAAAGACATTCACTCAGTAATATTCAGGAAGTGCCGCCATGATGGTTTAACTGAAAGACATTTTCTCTCAGTCAGAGGAAGTGCCGCCATGATGGTTTAACTGAAAGACATTCACTGAGTAATATTCAGGAAGTGCCGCCATGATGGTTTAACTGAAAGACATTCACTGAGTAATATTCAGGAAGTGCCGCCATGATAGTTTAACTGAAAGAAATTCACTGAGTAATATTCAGGAAGTGCCGCCATGATGGTTTAACTGAAAGACATTCACTGAGTAATATTCAGGAAGTGCCGCCATGATGGTTTAACTGAAAGAAATTCACTGAGTAATATTCAGGAAGTGCCGCCATGATGGTTTAACTGAAAGACATTCACTCTAATATTCAGGAAGTGCCGCCATGATGGTATAACTGAAAGACATTCACTCAGTAATATTCAGGAAGTGCCGCCATGATAGTTTAACTGAAAGAAATTCACTCATTAATATTCAGGAAGTGCCACCATGATAGTTTAACTGAAAGAAATTCACTGAGTAATATTCAGGAAGTGCCGCCATGATGGTATAACTGAAAGACATTCACTGAGTAATATTCAGGAAGTGCCGCCATGATGGTTTAACTGAAAGACATTCACTCTAATATTCAGGAAGTGCCGCCATGATGGTTTAACTGAAAGACATTCACTCAGTAATATTCAGGAAGTGCCGCCATGATGGTTTAACTGAAAGAAATTCACTGAGTAATATTCAGGAAGTGCCGCCATGATGGTTTAACTGAAATACATTCACTCAGTAATATTCAGGAAGTGCCGCCATGATGGTTTAACTGAAAGACATTCACTCTAATATTCAGGAAGTGCCGCCATGATGGTTTAACTGAAAGACATTCACTCAGTAATATTCAGGAAGTGCCGCCATGATGGTTTAACTGAAAGAAATTCACTGAGTAATATTCAGGAAGTGCCGCCATGATGGTTTAACTGAAATACATTCACTCAGTAATATTCAGGAAGTGCCGCCATGATGGTATAACTGAAAGACATTCACTCAGTAATATTCAGGAAGTGCCACCATGATGGTATAACTGAAAGACATTCTCTCAGTAATATTCAGGAAGTGCTGCCATGATTATTTAACTGAAAGACATTCACTCAGTAATATTCAGGAAGTGCCGCCTGATGCTTTAAATGAAAGACATTCACTCAGTAATAATCAGGAAGTGCCGCCTGATGCTTTAAATGAAAGACATTCACTCAGTAATAATCAGGAAGTGCCGCCATGATAGTTTAACTGAAAGACATTCTCTCAGTAATATTCAGGAAGTGCCGCCATGATGGTTTAACTGAAAGATATTCACTCAGTAATATTCAGGAAGTTCAAGCACTATTGGGACATTAAAAAAGGAAACCACATAGCGTAAGTCCGTTATTAGAAATGTAAGATATGAAGACTGTAAGATGTCAACTCACATGGATTAGAGCCTCTAAAGGGACAGGCTCAAATCACATAAGCAGCTGTGCCGTCTGGTGGCACTTCACCCTTTCTTGGTCACAGAAAGTATCCTCAGGAAATAAGACAAAAGTGAATAGGAACCACTTATAGTGTATTAAGTTATCACATCAAAGTGCTATAGCTTAGCGTGCAATTGGTTGCTCACCTTTTTCAGAGCCATTGGTGTCGCGGGTGGCGGTCCAATGACCGGGACCCCTGTGTGCCTTATGAGAATGATGGGAGTCTCAGCGTGGAAATGGACAATCAGGGTCTGCTGCAGGGTTGAGCACCAGGGTTTGTGCAGCCACATACCAGAGCCCTGATGCAGCTTAGCGGAAGCCAGGACCCAGATGATATGCTGATATATATCCCTAGAAACAGGACAAGACTAGGACAGGCACCTAACAAGAAAACAAGACAAGACTAGAAGAGCCCAGAACTCCGGCAGGACAGAAAGCAAAACCGTGAACATGTCAGGGATGTATTTACCACAAGGCAAACAAGGCATTTGCCTAGGGCAGCACTTTCGGGAGGGCGCCAAAAAATGCCACCCCAAGCTCCCAGACAAAAGCCTTGTTTGCCTCGTGTTCTGGGGCTGTCCACCTTACTGTGAGTGAGTGAGTGTAGCTGTCAGTGTGTGTCTGTGAGTGAGAATGGGTGTGCCTGTGAGTGTGTGTCAGTGTGTGTATGTCATTTATGTGTATCTGAGAGTGTGTGCCTGTCAGTGGGTGTGTCAGTGTGTGTCTGTCAGTGAAAGTGTGTGTTGGTTAAACAGTGTGTGCCAATGACTGTATCTGTCAGTGAGTGTATATCAGTGCTGGACTGT